TTTTTGGCATCTTAAAAGAATCTTAAAATAGTCTTAGTTTGTGTCACGTTTAAGATCTTAAACGAACGACAATTTTAAGACGATTTTTTTTTACACGGGAAGTTGAAATAATAAATTTTGTTCTGTTATTTATTCATTAATTATTTTTTTCTTTCTATTCGGCCATCGGTAACTTCGTTTCTATTGAGTTAAGAAAAAAATGAACGGAGACAATTTTGTAGAGAATTAAATTTTCTATAAGATCAGCAAAAGCAAAATTAAAAAAAAATTTTTATTTGTGTAATTATTTTAAAAATAAAAAAAAAAATTTTACAATGTTTTTTAAATGGGAAAGGTAATCCCCCCCCCCTTGCGTCAGCTCAATTTTTGAGATATCGAACTCAAACTTTAGGAGAGAAACTTTTTTTCTTATATTGAAGAAACTTTTAAAATACCTACATTTAATCGAAAAAAAGGGTATTTTGAGACAGCCTAATATATATGTATATTAATTATTTAGAAAACTTGGGCAATATGATTTAGCAACTTTACATAAAAAATAATATTACTCTCTTATAAATACAAAAATATGAGAAACGCAAAAATACAATAAAGCGTATAGCATTTGCAAGAATTTCATCCCAGGTAAAAAAATTATTTGTAATTGTATAAAATCATATACAATTATTTATTGATGAAAAAAGGCCATTCGGCATCCAAAATGGAAGTAGATTTTATAATTAATAGAAAAAATAACTACTAGGATTGTATAGAAAAAAAAAACAGTGCTACAGCTAATTTCATAATTAGCATACCGAAATAGGACATAATTTTGAGACTATAAATATGGTATGGTACTTAAAATTGAAGCTTATTTAATGACCTTTCAGATGCAATTTACAGAAATTTAATAATGTATCACATTCAATAGTTATTCGAGTAAGAAAGTAAAGAAATATGAATTTTTAAGATTTTGAAAATTTTGATAGTCTTAATGCTTTTAATTCGAGTAATTGATTAGTGTAATTAAACTGATAAGTATAATTAATCTTATAACATTTTTAATTCTTTTATTAGACGCGTAACTATCGTTTTATGTACAGTGTGTAACGTAGCTCTTTGTCACGTGGTAGATCTTCACGGCAAACGATAATTCACTACGTTACACTTCGTCCATCTCAGCCACCTCTCGATCCTCCAGGAACCCCGACAGGCGCCAGTCGACTTTTGTTTCACCGGTATCGGCAACCGGGATACGATAACTTAATTTTTATGTTCCCAGAAGACCAAGAGCAGCCTCGACGGTAACGGAATACCTCGGTGTCGCTCAGTTATGCAGGTTATGGAGAGAGGGTCGTGATTCGGTCTTTCAGAGGAAGTAATTTTCTTATAAAACGGGACTAAACGGTATCTAGTACACTAATCGGTACTCTCAAACTAACACTCAACCTTATTAATCGGTAAAATAAAATAAATCGATATTAAAAATATCGCGGAAGCAGTCCCAAACGAACACGAAACAAAGACAATGGCTTGGGCCATTCATCTCCGGTAATAGCAAGCGTGAGGCACGCCAGCTCCGATACGAGAGACTAACTTAACTCTCCAACGCGATGCTCACTCTACGAGAGCTCGTAACTGACTCTTTTTACGGTACATAACTAACGCTACCTAGCAGCAACGGTACGTCCGTCCTCTACGAGGACCTCCACAAGACTCTTCTATAAATCCAGACTTCCACACAAAACAATCCTTACTGTTTCACTACTCCAGCCAAACTGCCTCTCACCGTACCCCCACTACATTCATGCACCAGCTACATACGCTCAACTCACTTTCACGCTACCCCCAGACATACAAACTTCACACTCATCCCCACTCACACAACTAGTGTCCCAGACCTACCAGTGATTCCGCTCCCCTGGGAGCCTTGACAGTACTCGCGACTACCCTCGAGCCTTCAGCAATCGAGGCCTGTCAACCGCAAGCTACCGCATGAGCCTGTCAAACTCCCGTACTCTGGGGCGACGACATTTCAGTCGCTCCTCCGCGATAATCACCTCGCTCCAAGAGGCCGAACCTAAGTTCAGTCATCGGTAACTGACTGGGAGACACGTTACATCGGTCACTTTTCCGCAGTGCAGCTCGACATCCTCGAGACAACTCTCTCACAAGCACACTCTCTCGATAGTTCTTGATACTACGACATTACCGTACTTTATACACCAAAAACTCACGATATCACACAAATACACCACTACTGTAACGCTACATAAAATGTAACGTTACAAGTGATACACATTTTTTTTATCGATAATAATACCGAATTAAATACTTAAATTGATGACAGTGATTACAAGAACTTTAACGTATTTAATTAAATACAATTCAAATTGAACATTATACAAATTATTTACCTTGAAAAAAGACATAATTATTCAAGTCGCAGTTGAGACACGAGATGATCATATTCTGCTTTTCTAACTAATTTTATCAAATCACGACATTAGTGCGTTACAAATTTAACTGAAATAAACGAAATTCTACAGTATTAAATAAAGAAAATTGGAAACAACATGACATCTGGCAATTCACTCGATAATGGATCTCCAGTTGTCAAGAGGAGAAAATATAAAATGAACCGATCAAACGAGCTCGCTGAAGGCGAGCAAAGTTCGATCGGTATTATGCTACGACGTCTCGTTCTCGATGGTTACAAATGTAGATGTTTAGAGTCAATGTTTGTAAAATTTCAATTTTTTTTTACAGTGCAGAAGGATTATAAATTTTAAAAAAATAACATTACGTGCAAATGTCTCATTTGAGCTTTGTATTGGTCTGTTATAAAATCTTGCGAATGTTGATGAGTTCTTTGACTTTAAGCCAGCTGTGCGTCTTATTGTATCTTTATCCACTCCCTTGGCATTGGCTTTTGAAACAGCTGCGTGCTTTACACTGTATGAACCAAAACTTGTATCCATTCCTGCTTTTTCTAAAAATACTTTAACCCAGTGTCCCAAGGTTTGAGCACCAACGACTCTGAATGGCTTAACAGTTGAGATCTTTAAGTTCACCTCTCAAATTTTTTGTCATATCTAAATATTGTAGTAGAGTTTTGGCAACAAATACACTTTGTCTTTGTTTAAAAAATGACAAGATCAAGCTGGGTTGAAAGGCTGGCGGCTTCGAGATTTTAATTAATTCAGGAACTTTAATTTCTATAGTCGACTCAGATATTTTAATATTATTGATAATGATCAAGGCCATCGTCTGTAAACAGTGGGCTGTAGCAAGGGTCATCAATGTCACTAATTTTCTAGCTATTATTTTGATATTTAATTTTGATATATCCAGCATTGTCTCTATATATTGAAGTACGCAATTTGCGTCCCACGTAGTGGCGTATTTTGCTCGAGTAGAGCGTATTTTTTTAAAATACCCCCCGGTTGAAACGCTTCGTTAATTTTTCATTCGAGTCATTTTCATGAGTAATAAGTGCAATGGCAGCTTTATCCGAGATCAAGGTCCCATCTTGACATTCTTTTTTTTAATCCTGAGGTTAGAAATTCTATTACTTAAAATTTATCAGTGTCGTTATAGATATCATAGTTTCTTTCTTTTGAAAAAGAGCACCATTCCTTGAGTGAACTCTCATATTGTCTGAGAGTCGTTTCCGTGATGGAGCTTAGCATAATATCGGCAATATCTGATGAAAGTCTTTTGTTCAAATATTTTTGCTTGACAAGTGTACGGCTGCCAGAGAAAGTGTCTTCGTTAGAGGATGAGTTTTTGATCTGCAGGGAGAAATCAATAATTTTTTATTTGGTTTAATCACCAAAGGTGGATCCTTGGGCAACGAATGGAGTTAACGGATGCCAGAGCTGAGTAGGCCAGTTTGGTACTACGATAACACCTTCAGATTTATCGGTAATAAGCTTTTTAAGGATCGGTGTGATTAGAGCAAACGGTGGAAAAGCGTAAATTTTTTCGTTTTCCCGAGAAATCGTAAACGCATCAACTCTAAAAGATTCTGGACTCGAAAATCTAGAACAGAATTTTTTAAGTTTTCTGTTTTCATATGTGATAAATAGATCGATAGAAAAAGGATCAAATTTTTGGGTTATCAAATTAAACTCATTCTGAGACAACTCCTATTCCGTATCTATATTAGTCAATTGAGAAGCTGCATCTACATGATAGTTATCTTTTAATGAAATGTAGGTAGCAGAAATCTAGATTTTTCTAGTTTCACACCAATCCCAAATTTACCTTGACAAATTACTGAGTCTTGGAAATTGAACACTACTAGCTCGATTTATTTAAGATATCGCTGTTGTGTTGTCTAGTCTTAGTAAGACCTCACAACTATTTAAATTTGAGGCAAAAGGCTTGAGAACATAAAAGCTTGCCAATAATTCAAAATAATTTATGAATAGCTTCTTTTACTTATCATTCCACCAGCAGTGAGCCGATCTTCTGTTAAGCCCTCTTTCATCCACGTCCCCCACCGGCCTTTGTTCCGCATGAAATTTATCGGAGTCATCTGGTTTTATATTAGGATCTTTTCCTAAAATTTCAAGGATTTCTACATCTAGATCGGGTTCTCAACTAATTTATGATATTTTGCTTTGTTCAGAAAAAATTGTAAGTATTCAGCTAGTCGATTGGTCTTTATCTGGAATCTAATACAAACGATACAAACGATTTCCTAGCGATAATCGAATATTCTAATAACTTATAAAAAAGAGCAAAAAATATGAGCCCTATTTTCTTCGTCTCAATAATGTCACAAAACATAGCAGGTATCTTAAAAATTCAACTTGAATATTGAAAAATTCGTATAGGTAATCAGTATTTAGCAATAGAGCTATTTATTTATTTTTGTTAACTATCAATAATTGAATAATCCCAACAAACTTGCTCTTAAGAAATAAAGTGAAATATATTTATTAAATAATATATTTTGACAAATAGATAGATACATTGATTTAGTCAATTACTATGATTGTTTGTAAAGCGGAAAAAATTCAGCCATAAAGGTAGATTGTGATTGGACAAGACTAATACTAGTCTGAGCTTCTTTTAGGTGAGAATTAGCTTTTGTACTACCAATACGTCCAATATCATGCTGTATAATGTTGTCAAACTAAAAAAAAAATTTATCTTATTAATTTCGATAGTTCAAATTTGATAACACACCAACGTACCTTTTGCATTTGTAGATTATTTTTTATGCTGTTTTTAATGGCGAATGTTCCAATGTGTACAAACTCGTATCGAGCATCACTGTGAATCATAATCGAACGAAATAAATTTCACATTGATTGGATTTCGAATACACTACTTACGTGTCAGGAAAATTCAATTGAATTTCTATAAGAATATCTAGGATAACATCAACCCCAATATCGCTCTCAATCATAATATTGTCAAATACTTTCCATGAATCGTTAAAATCGTCGGAACCATCTATTGTGCTGTTGAAAACAAGCCTCAAAAAATAAGCCAAAATATCATGTTTCAACGTACACCCAAGGGTGTATAAGATATCATCTTCTTTATCGGATATGTACTTTCGATACAGTTGATTCCAAGTATTCAAATCAGCATTACTGACTCCACTGCATAAGAGCACAGACTTATAGAAGTCGTCGATTCTGCAAATAACAAAAATAATGTCAACGAATGATATTTATTTATTATAACTCAGAACATGACGATTATTGATATAGTATACGGATATCGTTTAGGATTATCAAGCCACTTGGTCAATTTTTCGGATGCATAAGTTTGACAACGTGACGATTAGAATTTACAGGCCCACTTTAGAATAGATGCCTTCTGAAACTTTGTCAAATAATGAACGTCCTGGTAAGATTTGACATCAACTAAAACGTCAGCTTCCATCTTTGAAGTTTGCTTCAGTAAATAGCCCTAATTTTGGAAAACAATCATTCGAATTATCAAAGGCTTAAATAAAGATATGATAATAAATACTTTGAAATCTTCGTAATATTGAGAATTCCGCAATGGTGAATTGTAATACAAATGTTGTAGTCGTCGCCAAAATTCTACCCATGGATGATAGTCTGTTTCTCGGTGAAGATATCCCATAAGTTTTAAAGGAACATCGTAGTCAATATATTTTGTACTAGCAAGAACAAATGCATCATCAATGAGTTGAGCTCGGTTTAGGGGGTGGATTTTTGAATGATCGTTACTTTGAAGATAGTTTATGATTAACTCCCAATTACTCTTATCGTAATTGACCCGATAGTCACCTGCGGCATTCAAAGATTTTGCAGTTATTCAGAATGATAAGAAATTTATGAGTATAAATTATACCAAATTCTCGTTTGTTGCAAATAATCCAACTATTTTGGGGAGCTCTGAAAATAGAGAGGTGGGGTGAGTCAGGATCAAACCATATGATGTCTGAAAGATCTTCAAAGTTGGGATAGTCTTGGGTAGCGCAGCTAATCGGAATCCAATATCTATCGGTCGATTTAGTGAATTCGTTTGCCTTGAACCTAGATTGAGTAATGATAGTTCCGTTGGCTTCGTTTTTGTCAACGTAAATTACAGGATATCCTTGTGTACTCATCCAATTAATCAACGCTTTTTTTAAAAATACTTTCATTGGTTCACTTTCTGAGGCTAGAGCATACTCGTCAATTAGGTTAACTGATTTACTCCCTCCAAATTTGCTATAAATTTATAATAGTATATGATTTGGGCTTTTTTCAAATAATGATTGAAATACATTAAAAACTCACTTATCTACAATAAATCTTCTTAAAATATTGCGAAATTTATATGGTCCAAAAATGTTAGCGACTGTCCGCGTAATAAAACCCACTGTAAAAAATTATATGTTTGTCAATTCATATCGATATTAAATAATGATTAAAACATATTTACTTCTGTTCGGTTGGTCTTGGATGTTATGAAAATATTTCTCCTTTATATCCCAAGATTGTTCAATCTGCAATTAATTTAGAATAAAAAAAAAACAATCTGGAAAACTGTTGGCCCTGTATGCCATCTTTAAAACTTCCCACTATGTGCAAGTTCAAAACGCTCTAGTAATGATTTATTCTGAAGTTTTGAGCTCTTCGAGCTCAACAATGCAACATTTGTACTTTTTTAATTTCGAAGATTTAGGGATTGTTCAGACCATACTTTTTTGAAAATTTTGAAATGTGATATCTTCCGATCGAATCAATCGTTTTTGATAGAGCTTGCAGAATTCAAAACAGTTTTTGAGCACGAAAAGATTATTTATTGCCTACCAAAAGATTAAACGAAAAATTCTGAAGTCATGTCAAAAAAACAGTTTTTTGGAATTTAAAAAAATCAAGTATCTCACGAATGAGTTGATTGATTTTAGTGAAATTGGCGTCGTTTGATGCAGTTTTTTGAGCACTAATAAGTATTTTATCACACCAGAATTTAATATGCGTGCGCCTAAATATAGAGTTTGCATATTTTTTCATCTTTATGATATATTCGACCAATCACATCACGAATAAATTGATGCCACATACATTTCATCTTAGTTTTATTATAGAATAGAAAACAATTTGAAAAGAAATCACAGTTACGTAAAAAGAAACACTTTTTTCAAAATTTTGCGTTAACGGTTTCTCTTTAACCCACAAACCGATTTTGATGCGGCTTGCAAGAATCAACGTCGTTTTCCATGTTTAAAAACCAATAAGATTTTGGAATTGATTGTTACATCTGTTTGAAAGTTTTTCCAAAAAAACATGATTTTGAAAATTTAATTTCTGAGATTTCTTAAAATCTAATGGTCTAAATCGGTTCAAACGGTCTAAAAAATCTTTTTGGTGAAGCCCTTTCATACGCCGCTGAGTTTGTTCAAATCGGTTTACACACACACACACACACACACACACACACACACACTTAACTGATTTACTCCCTCCAAATTTGCTATAAATTTATAATAGTATATGATTTGGGCTTTTTTCAAATAATGATTGAAATACATTAAAAACTCACTTATCTACAATAAATCTTCTTAAAATATTGCGAAATTTATATGGTCCAAAAATGTTAGCGACTGTCCGCGTAATAAAACCCACTGTAAAAAATTATATGTTTGTCAATTCATATCGATATTAAATAATGATTAAAACATATTTACTTCTGTTCGGTTGGTCTTGGATGTTATGAAAATATTTCTCCTTTATATCCCAAGATTGTTCAATCTGCAATTAATTTAGAATAAAAAAAAAACAATCTGGAAAACTGTTGGCCCTGTATGCCATCTTTAAAACTTCCCACTATGTGCAAGTTCAAAACGCTCTAGTAATGATTTATTCTGAAGTTTTGAGCTCTTCGAGCTCAACAATGCAACATTTGTACTTTTTTAATTTCGAAGATTTAGGGATTGTTCAGACCATACTTTTTTGAAAATTTTGAAATGTGATATCTTCCGATCGAATCAATCGTTTTTGATAGAGCTTGCAGAATTCAAAACAGTTTTTGAGCACGAAAAGATTATTTATTGCCTACCAAAAGATTAAACGAAAAATTCTGAAGTCATGTCAAAAAAACAGTTTTTTGGAATTTAAAAAAATCAAGTATCTCACGAATGAGTTGATTGATTTTAGTGAAATTGGCGTCGTTTGATGCAGTTTTTTGAGCACTAATAAGTATTTTATCACACCAGAATTTAATATGCGTGCGCCTAAATATAGAGTTTGCATATTTTTTCATCTTTATGATATATTCGACCAATCACATCACGAATAAATTGATGCCACATACATTTCATCTTAGTTTTATTATAGAATAGAAAACAATTTGAAAAGAAATCACAGTTACGTAAAAAGAAACACTTTTTTCAAAATTTTGCGTTAACGGTTTCTCTTTAACCCACAAACCGATTTTGATGCGGCTTGCAAGAATCAACGTCGTTTTCCATGTTTAAAAACCAATAAGATTTTGGAATTGATTGTTACATCTGTTTGAAAGTTTTTCCAAAAAAACATGATTTTGAAAATTTAATTTCTGAGATTTCTTAAAATCTAATGGTCTAAATCGGTTCAAACGGTCTAAAAAATCTTTTTGGTGAAGCCCTTTCATACGCCGCTGAGTTTGTTCAAATCGGTTTACACACACACACACACACACACACACACACACACACACACACACACACACACACACACACACACACACACACAC